ACACAAGAAAGAGGCAGAAATACAATAAAAGGGTTTTTAGTTGTAGTGTTGCCCAACACAATGAAACTTGATTTAAATTAAATTTATGCTAGCAATTCAGACTGCAAGATGACTTCTCTTCCGAGCATTGAAAGCTTTGCTACTGCCACATGAGTCTCTAAAAATATGAGTTGCCATCCCCAGACTGGGGATTTATTTTGTGTACCAGAACTCTCTATAAAGCATGATGATTCAACTTTCGACAAGGGGAGCTGATGCAAAAGACAGAATGGTGCTTTACAGAGAAGCAGGGGAGTGTGGGGCTTGTGCCTAAGGTCTGGCAGCCTTATAAACTCCCTCAGGAATTTCCAGCACTAAATATTTACTGATGTCACTCAACATCTAATCTGCTTGTATGTAAGTAAAAGTAGACTCTCAGAACAGTCTCTTTCCATCAGTTTGAGTATCTTAAAATGATTTCAAAATTCTCAGTTCTTCTTCCCCCTGTTGGTTTTTTCTTACCCTTGAAGGCAGTTCTATTTAAAATAGAGCGCACTCTCTTGCTTTTGTCGAAATATGAAGAAATACAGACCCTCTCCCTCCCCTCCTCCCTGAATTGAGAAACCTTAGGGTAGTTACAATGAGCCAGTTTAAGAGTGGAACACTGTGGACCTTTCACTACACCCATCACCCACACAGGAAAATGAAATCATGATGTACAACTGCTGTACAAGAAATCAAGATGCACAACTGAAGTAAACTGCCACAGAGGCAATGCAGAGGAGGGTGCTGAGTCATGGTGGTCCTCAGGCCAGAGACAGCCTGTCGCACTAGTTTTGAACCAGCCACGATAAGGCAGGATGTAGCCGCATGTTCTTGCTTTGACATCAAAGCTATTTTAACAACCTGCTGCTGTTTCCCCTCTGCACCCTGTTCACTCTCGCATCCTGGCTGTAATTTGCCATCTTTTCAGAATTAATCATGCTCTGGACTGAGCCGCAAACTCAGTGTAGTAGGAAAGGTTGCTTCATTTCAAAATACTGTTTACACAGTTCCAACAGAGGATGCAGAAAAGTAATGGGGAAAAGGGAGTTGAATCTAGCCCTGGAACTGGTTAGAATTAGGAAGAACAATGGTTCTGTCCTGTAATTACAAGGAAGTCCCTCAAACACAACGTCATCCACTTTCCCGTGAACCTCCTCAGTTCCCCTTTCTCTGGTTGAAGTTATGTGTAACCATAACTGAGTTTCCCTGTACTGTACTACTAGTCTACTTGGCTGTGTGCTGCTTGGACCTATCTTCAGGTAACAAAGGTCATGGGGAAGAACATCTATTCTTGGATACATTGTAAAATGCTGGCAACCCTGAAGTTTGCCAATAGTGTTATCAGGAGAAAGCTTCACCTATTTTAAGTGTTTTATATTAATATATAGGTTTTGCAGGCATATGATAAATATAGTAGGACAAAATTCACAATGCAGCTAAATCAGACATCAGCCCTTACTTTCTTCAAGCCTGTCTGAGAGATCCCAGCTTTAACTAGTTAACATAGTAGAGTATGCCAAATCTAAGGATCTCTTTAAAAGATAACGATCAATACTTTGCCATTTGGAAAGTAAAAATAGTCAACTATAGCAGCAGTAGCAAATGACTTTTAATTACCAAATGACCAGAAAGGTAGGTATGAAAAAATTAACCTTTGTTTTCTACCCCAAACTCATTATTTAAAACACAGCCTGTTTGTCCCAGGCATAGACTTCTCCCCGCTTTACACAGCTTCCTATCCACAGCTCGCCCACAGCCCCAAGACTCTATGTGCTGGTTATGAACCCACAGACCCTGCTTTCCATGTAACTCACTCTCTGGTAATTGTCCTTTAGGCTCTTGACTCAGGCCATGTTTGCAGAGTTTCATCCCTCACTGGATCCCACTCAGAGGATGTTTCAGTGCAGCACATCCTTCCTATGTTGTGCCCAGCAGCTACTACTACATCATCCTGCCCTGGCCCTCAGGAGATATCACTGTATTATACTGTAAACAAGCAGCTAATGAGGATACAGTCTGCATCCATAGGATAAGCAGGAATTAAAACAAAAAATCTAATTTGTATAAAATTAATCCTGTAATAATGAATTCATAACACATTGTACCCAGTTGAGTCACATGTCTCTGCAAAGCAGGAATAAAATCCTACCGAAAGGAAATTGCCTTGGTGGGCAGGCAGTATTTTATGATCACAGGAGCTATTACTCTCCAAGGAGAGAAAAAAGTCACAGAAAGGGAAGGAAATGCAGACAGGCAGGTATGCAGGGCTGGATTCTAGTTCCATTTACACTAACAGAGTTATTCCACTGTAGAGGAGACAAGAGTTTTCAGTTCTAAGTCTTAAGGATGCTGGAGAATAAAAATAATGGAAGAGTAATATCTGAAGTTCTTCTAATCTCAGTCACACACCAAATTCTCTCTCCAAAGATAATTGAGATTTAGACCTCCTAGCAATTCTCAGTGGTCATACTGTAAGTCATACAGGAATGTTATGAGACCAAAGCTGTAATAACGTGCTCTGTCTGAGCAGCAGAATAGCTATGCAATCAATATGTTTTTACACGCTCGCATTTTAGAGTGGATTAGTGTTGCAGCACAGTCTAAAATAACAGCATAAATTTAACAGGCTGGCAGTCTTAAAAGAGTGAAGTATAACAACAGGTGTATTTATTTGTGCTGTGAGGTGTAACTGATACCACTGTAATCCTGCCGAGATTTTTAAAACAGAGTATAAAATACTTGGTGCTGGAGCTAAAATAATCAACTGAAAATCAAACGGGAAAGACAACAGGTATCACTGTAGACATGTTGTGCAGAGGTACTACGTATGTGTCACACATTTGCAAAACCTATTAGTCAGCCCTTTATTAGAGACACTACATTCAGACAAATTGAACAAATCCTAAAACATATAAATCCCTAACACTACAAATACATCTTTTCCCAAAGCTATGAAGTACGATAACACCACATAGGTTTCTATTTTTCTTGCTTTTTGACATGATTGTTGTTGGATACTTAGATTTTATGAGTTCTTAGATGAGTCAGACCTTGCGGTATACTGGAACTGGAGATGATACCTCTTCTAACTATATGCTTTACCACAAACATTAAAAACAATTACTTAGAAATAGTAATTTCTAGGAATTCTGAAAATATTTTAGTTATAATTGTTATCAAATCATTACAGAAAAGTCTAAAACATTTCCAGTAATCATTCATTACATAGCTCCATATCTCCATACACTTGGAAACTATGATTTTGCTTTAAGTTTTCTTCTTACATATGTGTCTATATGCACATACACACACATATATATGGACTACTATAAAATGAGTGTCAAGAAAAGCAGGACCTTTACATTTCCACATTCTTCCCTATGTTTGCAATAGGAATGAAACTGTAGATAACATCCATGCCATCTACAAAATTTAAAGCAGACACAACAACCACTTATGCTCTGCTTTTCCCATTGGCATTTTCCATTCTTTCTTAAGTCAGTCTGCTCTAAGAATACGTTGTTAGGCCATACATTCAATCTTCATGCAACAAACCCTTCTCCCTCTGACACTGCCTTGAAACTACAGAATCTTGTGCCTGACCCAGAAACCATGCTTCCCTTCACAGCTTTAACCCTGCTGTGCACAGGCAAACAAGATTGCATCTGTGGTGTCAACTAAACCTAGTTACACACATTAAATATTTCCTTTTTTTGTGCTCTTCCAGTAGTTCAAAAAGTAGCCTAAACCATACAAGATACAAGCAAGCCTTACAGGGCCTGATTCTATTTGTGGAATCATCAGTAACTCCTCTGAACTCAACTGATGAAAACATACCGATTGCCACACCTAGAGTGCCATCCACTCACAATGGTGACAGAGGGAGTTCAGGTATTAAACATTTTGAAGAACTATGCGATGAAAGGAAACCTTTCCAAAGTCATAGAACCTCCTTACAATGCTCATTCTGTGAACTGAGAGAGAAAAAAAACAAGTTTCAGATTTTTTTTCTGAGATTTGTCTTAGTGATTGAAGGTCCATTTCCTAATGGTTGGGAATAAAAGTCTGTCTTGATAGTTAAAGCCACATAAGCCAAATTCTCCCGTGTAGCTACCACAGAGTAGATGTGCATGAAGCTTATCAGGCAATTTGTTAGGAGGACTAATGGGTTGGAGATGTGGTGCGGTGGTAGAAATGCTAGAAGGGAGGGTGAGCATAACAACATAGCTACATAAGTCTGCAGAGCGCTGACTCCTCAAAGGGAAACTTAAGGTATATGCACACCAAAATAAGCACACCTAGAGAAGAGCAAATGTGTGGCTGCGTCCCTGTAAGTACTCATTAGCAAGAGTATTTCAGAGGGAGCTGCAACTATATAACAAGTGGGCTTCTGTTTGGGGAAAGTGTTTTGGAGACATGTTTTTAGCATGGTGAAAAAAAGATTCCTCATGTTGCAGAATGCAAAAAACCTGTAACCATTGGCCTCCTAACAAATATTTCTGCTATAACAAGAACTGTGAAAAAGCAATGGCAGCTTGTCTTATTTATCTTATAGTATCAACTAATAAAGTGATTTTCTTTGCTATAAATGGTAACATATGATAAATAACAGATGTTCCAAAGCATGAGATGCTGTACTTTGACCTGGAAGGTGTCTGTTGTACTAATTTCTTCTAGTGTGGATCCTGCAGCCTTGACTGACATGATCAAGCCAATAGAAAGCAAATTGCTACCCATGTGAATAGTGGCAGCAGCAGCAGGCACCCAGTTTGGCAATTTTGCTTTATCCTTTCCTACAACTTGACCTTTTAACATCAGCATGTAAATTTTATTTCCATTATTTAGCTTTAAAAAAAAGGAGGGGGGAATCAAATCAAGTAGAAAAAAGGACCATATAACTAGGGCCACTGCTTCCATTTAGTAGGATGGACAACAGTAAGAATAAATAAGAACACAAAGACAGGACATATCAACTATGCTACGCAAGTGACAATACATCTTATTTTACTGTATTTGTTATCAAGATGACATGCAGTCTAGAACTTCATGGCAAACACACTGGCAAAAGCCATAAACCATGAGAATAACAAGGCTCGAAGGAACAAGGCTTACAAAGACAACCCCAAGGGTAACTTTCTTAGATACCAGTAAATAAATCCCTAAAGGCAAGGAACTAAAGTACAGCAACCCAAGCAACCACACTAGCACCCTAATTGAGGTCTGGAAGAGCAAAGATGTGCAGTTCCACACTGTCCAGTTATGGGACACAGTTGCAACAGAGTCAAAACTTGTAGGCCTGTAAAATTCCACAACAGGGGTTGAGTTCAGGGTCTGGGGACTTTCTCTTTGTACTTCCATGATTGTTATAACCAGGCAATTAGAAGAGGTGTGAGAAGGGCTAACCAGTGACGCCAGCCTCTTGGGAGTCAGCAAGAGTTCTGTTGGGTTGTCTGGTAGGCACTTTTTTCCCTTTCCCCCACAAGCTAAATTCAGAAGGATGTTGTTGTCATCAGGAAGACTACTAACCTCATCGTCTGGCAGGCACGTTTCAAACCTGCAAAACGGGCATACAATGACTCCTTGTGGGGAGTCACCGAAGTCTATGATCTTGCAAAGGCATTTGGCACATACTCTGTGACAGCACTCCAGCACTTTTGGTTTCCTCTGTCGCAGGTTATAGCGGTTGTAACAGATCTTGCACTCGAGCTCATCTGAGCTCTGGGTTTCCACAGACTCCTCTGGTAGCTGACTGGTCATTTCTTCTGATGGTTTTTAGACTTCAGGAAAGAGAAGTCAATGGATGAAGAGGTCACTCTAGGCTTCTTTTAGAACTTTTTCCTGATGATCACATCACCCATCTCAAACAGGAAAAGAAGAGATGACATTGTCCAAAGCATCAGCAGGCATCATCTATTTTCAGCTTCTGCTAGGGGGTGTGTACTGCATGTCCTTTACTCTGAGCCAGGCATCCATCTGAAAAAGACAATGTGGGATTTTTGTGTGAGAAAAGCTAAGCTGTAGCAGGTGCAGGTTCTACTTTTCAAAAGCTTAGCTTCCTTTGCTAAAAATACCTCTAAGGTAGTATTTTGCTGTGCAGATAGTGCCTATATAGCAGTCATGCTGACAAAACTTAGTATCACTCTGCACGCATTTGCTTTAGACTTCTAACTTTGACTGGCTCAGCCCATGAAGTTCTCAGCAGAAGCTGCAATCTAATCACGGATCCATGACCGTTTGTTTAAATCCCGGTTTCCTCAGGAAATGAGACCTAAGCCCTGGTGCTTTTCATCTTTCTCAGTAACTTGTGAACCTGCTGATCGCTTTCAAACAGCTCAGCAGAGGGGCAGCAGTACTAAACATAACAAAGTTTCTAGAAAAGAAGTGAACACTGGCAGTTGGGTAGAGGAGAAGGAGAGGTATTTGTAATGACCATCGCTTATCCTGAAGGACAATGGTCAGCCAGCACACACTCAGCCTCTGCTCTTAACAGGCAGCATGCTGCCTGTTGCTCAGCCGGAGAAGAGGGCAATTCAAAGGGAAGCTGGTGATACTCTGAGGGGATAAAAGAGTTTCGGGGAGTGAAATGGGTATGGAAAAGGGCTGGGGTTATTGTAAGAGTTATGTGGGGACCTAGGTAAAATCTGTAAAAAGATCAGGCTTTATTAATTTCACTGCTTCTGGAACAGCTCATTTCTCTGTTGACACCTAGCTCCTGAACATAGATTATGAAAATGAGGGTTCATTAGCTTGTAACAAATGTCTCCTCTAATGTGTGGATGCTAGGGTGAAGGCTAATGTGTCTCTCAAGGGCATCAGCCAGATGCTTTCTGGCACAGCCATGAAACACTGGTTTTCAAGTGTTTCATGGTTGTGACAGCTGTTTCACACCTCAGCTAAGGAGAGGCCCGTGGCATGCTTGTATTGCTGCATGCCCATTCTGCACTGCATTTGTGCCACCAGAGACCCATCAGGTTCGCTGAAAAAAAAGTGTATTGTTCTGTTTTGTAACTGTGCATTTTCATGACTTCATGAAACAGCCCCTGTATTATAAGCAAAACATCGACCAGGACCGTGTACCCTGGGGACCAGTAATTACCAGCATTTATGAAACCAGCTTTACTTGTCAGAAGATAAAAACTTCTTCAGATTCGGGCATATGCTTGCTCACAGGGACGGGTGCGCCATTGCATTTGCAGGTTTTGAAACTGTGCTTCACTGCTAGAGTAAGAAGGAACTTGCCACAGTCAGACAATGGGGGTCAGCACTTGTATCCAGTTGCCTCTTGCATTATCAATAAATATCAGGCACACAGAATGGGGGGGGGGTGGTGGGGTGGTGGTGGTGGTGGTGTAGGAGAGAGGGAGAGAAATGGTCTATTTCAGTAAACTTGTTTCTTAACTATCAGTTTTAGTAAATGTTTGATTCCTTTACTTTGGAAAATTTTAACCCACTCCTAGCATTCAAATCTTTGTCCTTTTTTTTTGAGAACAAGGCAGGAAGTTGTGTCTTTTAAGCAATGCACTCCTTCTGTCAATACATTTTACTTGTCAACTATCAGGCACAATAAAGTGTCCTTTGTGGGCCTATTGTTCCTACTGTGCTTTATGAATTTTCCATTCTCTCAACTTTCTGCATAGCTTCTATAAGTAACAATTTCTCAAACTGACCTCCTGGATTTTAAGACAAAGATTTCATTACTGCAGACAATGCAGTAATGAAAAAAAAACCAGGACAACATAGTGAAGAAAAAACCCCACCATATTTCTCTAAGAGTTTATAACAGACATGGCTCCCTCCCCATTTAATTTTCCTAACTTTTTTCCTTCCTCTTCCAACTTATTTCTTTAGTGGTTTAAAAGTTTTCATCTCTCCCTTACTGTTGTTCTTATTATTTATACTGTGAGTATATTTGTGGTGTGTTTCATTAGGCAAGGCAAACACAAAAAGGCTGATCCATAATTTTTAGTGTGTACAAGCTAAACATATAAAAGACAAGTACATCTTTTACAGACCTTATAACCTATCCTTTATCCTTTGTTACACTGTGTGCTTCCTTATTAATTTCTAGTACTCTTTATTTCATTCCAAATATCATCTTCTAGATGACTTTTAGGCATACATAAATGTCATGAGATGATAACTTTCCAAAGGACAAAAAAACCCACAAAAGGGACCTAAATAAGTGAAATGCTGACCTACAGGAAAGCAAAGCACCACTGAGAAGTTAAGAAGCCAAACAAAAACAAGTGATGGTTTTGAACTTTTACATCTTGAGTCTCATTCAAATTCTGTACCCGAGGTGAATTCAGATTACTAACATGTTCATGCTTCACAGCTAAGGCTGGCAAACATTGTCCTGTGATGTAAAATTAGAATTCTGATTAACCAAAAAGCTGTCCCAAAATGTGTCTGCTTCTTATGGAAAACTGTGATCTTTCTCTGCAAACTCCCAATCTTTCTAAATGAATATTTCTTTTTGTTTTCCAAAAAAAAAAGTCGACTTTCCAACCAATTTTGTTAAAACCTGGATCACTTCTGCCTGAGTCAGATTTCAAACTGAAAGCGTTTTCCTGATTATATCCCCTTTAAGTGGCCGAATTTAGCGTTAATACAAGGAGCAACAAGTTGCCGGCACTAGCAATATCTCAGCTGCTAGATTTGAACCATTAACTTCATTTCCAGAACACAATGATCCTCCTTGAGGTAGTTTCTGTCATGAGCTATTCTACAAATTATTTTCTAACTTTTTTTTAATGTACTGCACAAGAAAGAACTGACATCATCTTTCTCCTTCCACAAAGTGTCTTCAAAACATAGCTATCAGTAATAAAACATCACTGATTAATTTTCTTTAGCTAAGTTTAGATGTTTGATTTCTCTGTATGTGTTCTTGTGTGATTACTGCTTACTACTATTCTTCATTTATACATCTATTCCTTTGAAAATTAAAATTTAATCACTAATTTCTATTAATGGTATTCATACATTTTTCAGTTTCTCAGCTCTATGGTGGGTTTAGATGCTTCTTAGAGAATTTTGTATTTTTTCTTCTCAATACCCACATTCTGTCTTTTTTTCTCTGCTGAGAATTGATGCCTTTTGAGCTTTATTAATGCTGCTCTGCTATTATACACACCACATATACTAAAAAGTTCTCTGATCAGGGACTTGTGAAAAATACAAGAAAACTGAGGATTTTAAAGAATTTTTGCTTCAAATTACCCCTATTTCTTGAGAAAATTAGACATGTCTTGAGAAATACAGCCAGCTATTCCTTCAAACCACTTCTGCTCTATGGCAAAGAGACATGTGTGTCTGCGTGTCTCTCCAGGAGGGTATTTACTGGAAGCAGGCAGAATAAGGAATTAAAGTAGGGAATACGTTAACTGCTGCCCCTCTGAATCCTGGTCCCCCACCAAAAAGGTGGCAAAAGCTTCACATACTTCTGCTTGTTGTGTGTTTAAGGAAAAAACAGCTGCAATATTACACAGAAATTATTTACTATATTATACAGAAATGAGGGATTGTGTCTCTATGTTCATGTTTTGTTCTCCTCTTCTCTTTGAGCCACTTTTTTTATGATGATATGAGAATGTACATCCCTATTATATGTTCCAATACTCTATTAATGTTTGGGGTTTTTTTATTATTGGGAGACAATATGAATGTTTTTTTCTGACTTTGACATCCAAAGGACAGTCAAGTAAAAACTCCTGAGCGGAAATCCTATGATGAGTCTAACCTCTTTCACTTCCACGTACAAAACTGCTATTGACTTGAGATCAAAGTGAGGTCCCATGTCTATTTTGAGAGCACTGTGTTTATTTTTATGAATTCAGATATTGCCATGACTTTAAATTATTCATTATGTCCAGTTTTCCACTTGAGCTTATTTATTTTTAGAGATGCCTCACCTGCTTGTTTGATACCAACAGGCACAAGTGTAACTAGGGAACTTTCAGTCACGTATTAAGAAAATAATATTCACAAGGTGTTCAAAGACTGGAACATGTGCAGAGTGAAGCAGAAATTAAATCTCCAACCTTACAGATACTGAAAACATGAGTGGGTACAACCCTGACTACTCTGCCGTAGAATCTGGCCCTGCTTTGGGCAAAGGAGGCAAAGGAGACTAGACTCTTGCTGGAGATTCTTTCCAACCCAAATTATTCTATGATTCTATGTTCTGGTATCCTGAACTCACTTTATGTGCTCTGTTTCAGAAGCTTTGTTCCTTACTGAATAAGGAATCAGGCTGACAGTTGCTTTTGTAGCTAAATATCTCTCCTATATATTAATTCTACCATTTAATATATGAATTCTTTTTTTACAAGAAAGCCTAGATAGCTTCTGTTATTCTGTCTTCCACAGAAGACTATTCACTGGGATCAACACAATCCAATTGCAGAACTTTTCATTCCTGTCTCTATTATGTAGCACATAGCGGCCTTCAGAACAAAATATAAACTGTTAGACATGTACAATGATAAAAGCATACACTCCAGCTTATCCAAGAACAAGCAGATCTGTTATACTGACAAGCACTTGTCTTTTGTAAGGGTTCTGCCTAAGCACTGCAGGTGTGAATCGTTCCTATTCACATTATGTTCCTGCTGCTGCTGGAGCTCTGCCTCCCTCTCCCTTCCCTGTGCCACCTATGCTGTACCTGGCAGACTCCTCTCCCTGACCCTTTTAGTAGAATGGAGAAAAGTTGAAGGAGAAAGCAGAAGATCACCAGGAGTCCCCAGTGTTTCAGCTGACTGCTGGAGGGCAGTCCCAGTAGCAGGGGGAATATCCTCCCCTGAGAGCAAGAGGAGGTCATCGATCAGTCTTCTAAATCACTGCTGGGTTGCAGACTGCAGATTTGCAGGGTTTCATCTCAGGCATTGAAAGAAAGGTGGATGGGTTGTGCAACATGTTGTGACTCCCCTCTTTGCACTTATTTATCAAATACTGCATAGACAAGTGTTCTTACGAGAAGGACATAAGCAGTTAGTTGTAGATGAAGCTCTCAATATTGGAGCTTAGTCATGCTGACAGGGCAAAGTAGATGGGATATTTGTGCTTCTCCCTAATAATCATCCTCTCCCAGTTTATCAAACCAACATTTTATCATTCATCTCTCACACCTAAAATAAATACATGAGGTCAGTAATTAACTTCCATCCATGGAGCTACCCAACGTGATATTTTCAAATGTTTTTAAAGCTTCCTCTAAATGCAAGCCGAGTGTATTTGGGGAATGGGAGAAGAAGAAATGTATATGTATATATATATATATAGAGAGAGAGAAATACAGAGAAACTTACTTTCCAAGAAAAAGAACTTCTTGCAAACGTTCACTTGCAGGGAATGCAAGAAATGCCTGTTCTTCTCCACATGGGTAAAAACTGGTGGAAAGGAGGGAAACAGAATTAGTAGGGCAGGAATATAGCTGGAAGTCTTTTCAGTCTGTTTCTCTGAAAGAGAGGAATGCAGTCCAACTTCTCTAGTTTGGATAGAAATACCCATATGTTAAGATTTCTGTTTAGGAGTATATTGGGTAAATCCCATTTACTAAAATTATTTCTGTAAAATAATCCAGAGTTATCTTTACAGATCTGTTGTTGATTTTAAGCCTCTTTCAATATTATGCGCTAAACATTCTGAAGTGCGATCTCATCTAGCAACTACATATTCACAAATGTTAGCAATTCATTCAAAGAAACCCCAAAAGCAAAGCAGCTAACAAGACAAACTGTGCTTTGAAAGAAGAGTTTTAAAAACATCAAAATACTTTCCTTCACCAATCTTACAGATGCTCTTTGGTCATTTTTACTTTTCCAAACAACCTGCAGTCTCTTCTCCAGCACAGACCAGAAAGCATCCATCTCCTGTGGACCACTGCATTCACATTTGAGCAGCTTTGCTGCATTCTGACTCAGCAGGAAATGACCATCACACTAGATTTTTCCAGCTTATGCTAAGCACAATGCAAAAAAAACCCCAAAACTGCTTTACTAATGTGACATTTGAATAGACTACGATCAAAGTGCCAGCAGCTATCACATGTTCAACCTGTTTCATGCCACATTTCTGCTAACACTGGATGGGTTTTAACAATGGGCAATTCCCTGTCAACTCTATTCAATGTGGGACTTTGCACTAGAGTTACAGAATGTGACATACTGATCCATGTTTGGTTTACTGTCAGCTCTATAAACTGCTATGAAAAATGCCTCAATTCTTTTCACAAAAACATAGTTTTCCGTGGGACAGGTAATGAGGTTATTTCTTAAATGACTATGCACAAAAGAGAAACCCTGCAAATATACAGCAAATATACAGTAAATACTTGTGTATTATTGACTGCTTCTCAAAAGACTAAAATGAAATAGAAGTATTTCTATCAGAAGTTACTGTTATAATATTTAAACTCCTTGCCTGATCTCCCTTAATCCTCTGCAATATCAGAGAAAGACAAAATAGCTTTTCATATTCAAAGTGGAGTTCATCGGTCTCTGATCATGTCATGTAATAGCAGTGTGCTATCTTTTACAAATCAGCAGTTACTGTTGGTTTTTATTTCCCCTCACCAGTAAGTAAACAGAGATATTTTCATCAGACACAAGGTTCAGTTTATTCAGTATTGTGACACTGGCTCTTAGGGTACATTCTATATCCTTTGCATGTGCATATTCATACCACCAGATTCCATTTCCTCCTAACAGTACCATTTGCAACACTTTTTTGTTATTCCAATAACTCACATTAGGTGTCAGGTAGTACCAGAAAACGATATGAATAAAAGCAAATGCCTTCTTGAAACGTACTATCCGCAATTACTTTCTTTCTAGCTAAAGGCTGCTACAGTCTTGATATGAATCTTAAAACTGACTGATGTAGAAAAAATGTTTTCTTAGACTTGTAGACACAAGCAAAATCGCTTCCAATATTTCTTAAGAAGAATTTTCCCCTCATTTATAATTCATGAACTATTTATATAGCAATATGCTGAATGACTACTTAATGTGACATACAGTTGTAGGTTGCTTTGTAGCTGTTTTAAGAATAATAAAGGGCAAAGGGTCTGATCTCTTAAGAGCTGTCTTGATTTAAACAGACTATTAATTACACTAAATCGATAAGTAAAAAGTGGCTTGAAATTTTTATTTAAAATGATAACATATAATTTTGGAAATTAGCTAGTTACACAGAATTCATTCATTTTAAAATGATTTTTAATCGTTTCACAACCTGATTATGTGGGCTGTGTTCGCATTTTCTCTGATACTGTTTTCTCACTGCCAATGGCTTTTCCTTTATGACTCTGAAACCAAGAAATTATCTACTCCAGTGAGAATATATTTCACGATAGAACTCATGACCTTACTATTCTTTTAGCGAAAGGTTACACATTCTCCTTTTTGGTAGCATGGGTGGTTTATAGCAAGTTTCTCAAATACTTAGTTCTGCTTTTCTGCTTTAGTGCTTATGTCCTTTAGGAGCTCTTCTGAGAACTGAACAGAGTGTAAGACATGGATTCTAGAATACAGTTTGAAAAGATACAAAGCGATAAATAAATAAAAAGCTTCCCAGTGCTTCTTAATACAGGCATAAATGTTTAATCAATCATATGACCTACAGACATGTCTAGCATTTTTCTTTAAATTAGGCATTACTAAAAGCCAATATGAATTTCAGAATACACGAAGATAATACCATAGAAGTTTACTTCCATGTTTTGTTTACTACTGTGTGCTTGAATGTAAGCAATTAAAATAAGTCCAGAAATACAGGCAAATATTTTTTCTTTTTTAATAATAATAAAAAAAAGACTGTTGTAGTGGAAGTTATTAAGTAACATACACAAAATGTAAAATCCCCAAAATATGACAGATTCGTTTTTCTTTGGACATATTTTCTATGTTATATAATTTGGGAGGGACCAGGTGAAACAAAAAATACAGAAAAATAATCTTGATTACATCATTCAGTGAGAAATTTCTCTTCACGCAGGAGAATAATTCATTATAATAATTTCAAATTAACCTTCAAAATAAGATTAAAATAGAAAGTAAGTATTGCATTATACTTGTCCTAATGGAGCTGAAAATAATCCCAGAATAGACTTGAAATGAAGACGTACTTGCTTTTTCTGTTGTCATTAAAAGCAGTCTGCCTAATACTTAAGTATGTTTAACTTGGCTCATTCTGTTTCAGACATTTTTTGGGATATGAACAGGTATAAAGACTTTACAATATTTTCTATTTCATCTTAATAGGGTAGTGAACACAGGTGGAAGATTATACAGGACAGTACTCATACTGAAGTGTTCAGTACTAATGTTGCAGATAGACCCAATAGCTTGAAAAGAAAAGGAGGAGGTCTGAGAAAACAGTACTTTATCCTGGATATACTAACCTGTAATTTCAGTATTTAATTTAGTTCACCTAAAGCACATCTAAAAATAGTACTGCTAGGATCAAAATTATTTTTATTTTGCCACTATAGCAATAGTTGGCATAAATTCCCTCTTCACTCAACATTTTTGTATATGACTAGAATTACAATAATGTAACTGAGAAAAAAAGTTGCATAAAAATCTTAGATATATTGAAAAAATGAGTAAACAAAAAACCCCCAGCTGTTATGGAAAAAATATTAGTAGATCTTCTTGACATGTGGTAAAGCTGAATTGTATGTCTTCAATCGCATTCATGGAAACTGAGAGATCCCAACAGAGAAGTGTCAGTAAGGGGACATTAACTGTGACTGTAACTTCTTTTGCTCTCTTACAAAATACTTGCAGGAAAAAGTCCATTTGACCTGATTTATACATAAGGAAAATAATTTTAGAACTGTACCAAATTTGGTTTTAACTACATATTTTTTTATTTTCAAGCACTTGTTATTATCATCCTGCACCAGTCTTTTGTTTTTAGCTAACTTGGAAAATCGTTTTTCTTTGGCAATGAAAGGTCCCTCAAATAATAAGACAAAACCACTTCTCGTTAGGTTTATATACTAACTATAAGCAAACTACAATCTATAATCTTCATGGTCTTAAGAAAAATACAGAAGAAAATGATCTATTAGTTGCTCTTTTTTGAGTGTTTCTGCTGAAAATGAAGCAGCACCAGTTTAATTCCACAGGAAGCATCCGTCTAGCAGGGCTTCACAGTTGCAGGGCAGCTACAAGCAAACAAACTACACGTGCACTCCTGCACGTGCACCCCTTATTCTAGACACAGGCACATGAAATAAAACTGTATGTTTAAGAAGTGTATGAAAGTAGTTAAATTGTGTCAGATTATATGCACAGCTTTTATTTTATGCCATTAAGGAATACAGGAATCCTCTTAACCAAGAGCAGTATCAGACCAGATGTATCTTTTTTATCTACTATGAATGATCTGGGGCTGTCAGAGCTCCATGGAGTGCTAAGACCAGCCTCAGAATCGTTGGAGTGTTCTGCTCATGAGTTTTGCTCAGCTCAGATTAATGCTTATATAGGACTTAAACTTCAGGGGGACAGATATGAACTGCTCTGCTTTTAACACACTATTTAGCAGTGAAATGTGGCATATTTTTTTTTATGCGTTATGAACTGTCAGAGAAAGAGCTTAAGTACTACTGGATGGAGTATTTCAAGCAAAGGACAGAACCTTCATGGGCTGAGATGCTGTATACAGCAATATAGAGACTACATTCTGTAAGAAACCACACTGGTACGATTGCTCTCCCAAGAGCAATCCTCTCCAATGGTAGTCTCAATATCCCCCTGAGAGTTAAGTTTTGAAGTGCTAGCCCTCACCAGACCTCAGACTTTGAGTCAAATTTTCCTCAGTGGGCAGAAAAAAAATTGGCTCTACTTACTATGTATATGTCATCCCATCCTACAGCATTCCTAAAGTACACAGGAATCTGCTGCTGCTGAGCCAAAATATTATATCCTCTGGATATTTCTGAAGGCACAATGGTCACCAGAGGTTGCCCCGAGACTAGTGTTACTTCTGGGAACATAGTCAGACCTGGAGCACCCTTCAGATTGGATAAGAAGAGCAGGAAAAAGCAGTCATTTGTCCATAACATGTATCAAAATCCGGTTCAAAATGAAGTGTAACTCCTCACAAGTATTTCTGATGGAGATATTCTCCCACAACAGCAGCTAATCCAATCAAGTCTAAATCTGATCAATATGAACCTGCAAAAAATTGTAAAATCTGCACAGTTGGAAAATCTGTTTCAGCAAGAGTTGCATATTTCTATTTTGGGACAAGGACAACCTCGATTTTCCAAATTTCCCATCATCCAAAAGAGTTACTCTGGTGAAGTCTTACAAACTCAATGGAGGGTACGAGATTGTCTTTGCTTTGAGCAAAGCTACAGCATTTTGATGCCAATTGTAACCACAACAACTGAAGGGTTAAACTAAACCAAAATGTTTCAAGTGTGCCAGTTGAGGATATACAAAATACAAAAAAAAGAGAGGAAAGCATTGCTTCAGAAATTCTTGAAGTAATCAAGGCATATTCAGAAACACAACTTGTATATTAAACTAATTAGAAAGAAAGGAAAAAACAATCACCACAAAACAGAAAGAAAAAACATAAATGGAATTCTAAAGGATTAAAAAGCAATACATAGGTCCATAGAGAGTTATGACACTTGCCTATTTACCTGATTTAGTGCAAATTAGTAACTGAAACCAGGTATTGGTATTTTCTTAACTAGTAATAATGAATGCAGATTTCAGTTTAAGTGTTTTGCAACATACAATACAAGGCTAGAAAACCTAGAAAATATAACACCAGCAAGTTCTGAATTTCACTTAATGTAATATAAAAATCAACACAGCAGCTTTTCAGTAAGTATTCCAAAGGACAGCAGGTTTTCTACACAGTATCACAAATGAGCAGCTTGGATGAAGCTTATAGAAAAAAGCAGGAAACAAAAAACAATTTTTGCCTTCTACTAATACTTCTTGTTATATTTTATTTTATATATTATTACTAAGCTATATATTACTACTAATAACTTGTTAGCCTACTAGACCACAGTTTATAAAGTTACAAGTATTGCATTAATAATCAGTGCAAAAGGCAGCATTGCATCCACTGTGAATCTGCCTTTTTCACAATCTCTGCAAACACAGACCCACAATTCGCAGCAAGTTAAAATATACCTTTTTCCTTGGGCTTGGCTTCTTGACAGAAGGAGCTCTGAAACTGAATAAAATCCAGTTCTAGTGTCTCCTCTAGAGTCAAATGACTACAGTATTACTTGAGGACTTCTGAGCCATATTTATCCTTCTCTGCTTCTGGAAGACTCTCTCAGAAAGTGCACCCTAAGAAAAAGCACCCTGAAAGGCATTTCCCATTAACTGTGGTGAATATATTTTGCAACAGCGAGCACATCTAACTTCAAACTGCAGCGCAGTGTTGACAGTAGATGAGCCAGATCTGGTACTGGAAGCAACCTAGCTGTAATCGCATGTAGTTCTAGATGAGAACTAAGTTAATCTGGTTTGTAGAAGATTCAGCCAAAACTTATGTACCATTTCCCACTTCATCATCCTATGCTAATATGCTGAGGTTTGTCTTCAACCAGTGCCAATATATATTGCTTATCTGTAAGCTGTCACTGTGCTGGGTTAAGCTACAGAAGACTGCATTCTGAAATGTGATAGGAGATATCCTAGAAGACAGAAAAAGTTTTACCTTTCATTCTCAGAGTTTCCAAACTTAGATATGTCTCAGTTTGAAAAGGGTATCTCAGAGGATCAGTAACCGTTGAAAATGGAGACTTTCATCTCCACTTACGCAAAACTTTACACAAATGTTGCTGTTCACATCATGTCTGGCTGTGTTCCCCCATACAGGTGCCATCTCAGGTTTTGTCATGCCCATTAACATCTTGTGTGTTTGAAGCAAAAAGGCTTGCAGTAGAAAGCTTGAATAACTTTCATGCCTTTTCCCTGAGAGACTCCTGTTTCTGAATGGCCATCACAGAACACTGCTATATGGACAGATCATAAGACAAAGGTGGACTGAGGGAGAAACAGCTACACCAATAGTGAATTTTATGCTAAGCATATTCACCAGACCAAGTGACTGCTGCAAAAAGCCAGTCACACATCACACAGCTAAGGCCAGTTCTATATACCAGATCAAGTCAAATGAGCAAACTATAAGCACGGAATTCAAACAAAAGTTTCCAGATGGCAGATTAGTTGAATATACTAACAGTTATGGCTTTAAACAAACAAACAAATTCTAAATACACATCTAAGGTTCATTGTTGATGACAAAGCTGCTTTCTTGTAACAAATGCAATGCATGTATTCAGATAAATGAGAGCTATCTGTGTAGTCCTACTGGACTGAATAAGGGCATCTGAGAAAGGACTGCCGGAACATGCCTGCCCCATGGTGAAATTCTTTTGACCAAATGATTCAGAGTGAAATGTCTGACTTACTTCAGCCAGTCCTATTAATGAGTCACTATATTTCTACAGCAAAAAGTGATAGAATATCATGCCACCTATGCCTAAACCTTTAGCTTTCAATGATCCCACTCAAATGCACAAAATTAAAAGCTATGTACAGCATTTTCAGTGATGCAATTTATTATATAGTACAGCAATAAAAGTATTCTTTACTTTCAGGCCAGTGTGGTTAAAAGCCTTTTGATTAACAGAACAGCAACAGGGCATATTGATAATTCATTCAACAAAATACTGTAAGCTAGATCCTCTTGTGTAAATCAAGAGTGATTCAATCAAAAGAGATGCAACACTTGAAAATATAATGTGAGCAAATCACATCAGCTTTTGTTAAAAAAAAGGCCTCTGTTTGGAAAAAAAAAGCCTTCTTCCTGTTGCTTTCCATATGGTAGCCTGTAGTTCTAAAGATGTGTTAAGAAAAACTTAAGGGATTTGTTCATCAAATTTACTTACCGAGTTTAGCTTTGAAAATGACAGTAAATATTAATTCTTGGATGCAAACATTTTGTTAGGATACATGTGCAGGCTTTTCTCAGGCAAGATTCCTATTTATTGGGGTAACAGAAAGAACACTGATAGAATTAAGTACTAGAAGAATACTGTATGCTTTTCATAGAATCACAGAATGATTTGGGTTGGAAGGGACCTTAAAGATCATCTAGTTCTAACATCCCACCTTCCACAGGTTGCTCAGAGCCCCATCCAACCTGGCCTTGAACTTGCAAGGATGGGGCAGCCACAGTTTCTATGGGCAACCAATTCCAGTGCCTCAGCACCCTCACAGTAGAGAATTTCTTCCTAATATCTAATCTGAATCTCCTCTCTTCCAGTTTAAAGCCATTCCCCCCTTGTCGTGTCCCTACATGTCCTTGTAAAAAGTTCCTCTCCAGATTTCTTGTAGGCCCCTTTAAGTACTGGAAAGCTGCTATAGGTGTCCCCTGAGCTTTCTCTTCTCCAGGCTGAACAAGGCCAGCTCTCTCAGCCTGTCTCCACAGGAGAGGTGTGCCAGCCCTCTGATAATCTTTGTGATCCTCCTCTGAACTCACTTCAACAGGTCCACATCCTTCAAGTGCTGGGGGGCCTGAGCTGGATGCAGTAATGCAGGTGGCACTGCAGGTGGCGTCTCACAAGAGTGGACAGGAGGGGCAGGATCACCTCCCTTAACCTGCTGGGCATGCTCCTTTGGATGCAGCCCAGGATATGGCTGGCTTTTTTGGCTGCAAGTGCACACTGCCAGCTCATGTTGACCTTCTTGTCATAGAATCATAGAAGTACAGAAGAGTTAGGGATGGAAAGGACCTTAAAATCACCTAGTTCCAACCCCCCTGCCATGGTTGTCAACCAACACCTCTCAAGCCTGTCACTGTCTTTTTTGATAGCATCCCTTCCCTCAAGCATGTAAACTACACCACACAGCTTGATGTCGTCAGCAAACTTGCTGAGGATGCACCCGACCCCACTGACCATGTTACCAGCAAAGATGTTACGCAATGCCAGTCCCTATACCAACCCCTCACCGGTCTCCACTTGTCTTGGTTACTGTTTCATAGAACAAAATCCTTTGTGAATTTTCTACAGTTTGTTACTGGCCCATTTATTTAGCTCTTAACTGTGCAATCCCTGCTGAGGCAAAAGTCAGACTGAATTGACTAGGAGAATGGCACAAACAACCGTTTAATTTCTACTTGGCTCTGTTATTGAAAAAAAGCTGCGTTTTCTTAATTGTCACATTATTAAATCTTGGAAACAACTGTACTTTACAATATACGACTCCAACCAGGGAATATCATCAGTAAAAAACTATGATGGCATCTAGTAATTCATAAAAACTGCAGGATACTGTTCCATATCCAGAAAGATAGGCTTATTTTAATACACTGGGTTGTGCAGAAAGGAGCAGACAAGATCTCAAGGACAGTGTTTATGAATACATGAATTGTGGCAGCCCCACTGGCAGGATATCAAGTCTGAAGGACTTACTGATCGAACATTACGTGAATGAAGTATTTGATACACTCAGACAGACTTGGTATGTCTAAATGAGACATTACAGCCTCGGATGTGTCTCATATTCTCTGAGCATAGCAGGTGGAACCTCTGGCTTATTACACCAGTGGTTCTGAAAGAGCTTTAGATTCCCCTCACCATCAATAGCAATCCTTAACCATTTCACATAGTAAGATTTTAACTTAGCTACTCATAAAATGAAACCAGAGCGCTATGCATTACAATTGTCTTTAAAACCACAAGACATCTTGCAGTGACACCTTAATAACAACATCATTAAGCACTAGATCTAAATGGAACAAAAAAGGACCTCCAAAGTAAATGCCCACTATATTTTCTGAGAACTCCGCAGTGAATCTTGCTATTGGTTATACCTGTGCAAAGCCACTGAGTTCAGTTCCATTGACTTACTGGTGCTGCATGAATGTAACTGAGCACAGAATACAGTTTACAAGATTGCTACCTCAGAGTTTTGGGATCCTTACAGAACAGAGTTTTGAATCAGAGAAAAGAGAGAGCAGTGACTATGATGAATCTCAGAGAGGTTTATGTATGGAGTGGACAGAGAGAATATTTAGGAAAACCAGCTTCTGAACTGGCACTCTAGGGAACACAGCAGAAAGCACATACATGGGGAGAAGGTTTGAATGTAATAAAGCCAAGTTTGAGCTGATACACAATGTGAATTTGGACAGAGTTTCAAAGACTCAGAATTACATGATTTAGGAAGACAGGCAAGAAAGAGACAAGATGTTTAGATAAAGGGAAGGGAAGCAATAGAAATGCCAAGTCGGCTAGGAAAGAGTAGGTTACATATTACAAGTCACAGAATCAAAGTAACAGAGTATTAAGGCATAGGCAGAGGTGAAAGGTGAGGAAAATTTTGTGTTTTATACCAGAATAGATGATAGGAAAAATTGCTACTAATCTGAATATGAAAAGAAATGGAGAAATCAGACATGACTTCTGTTGCTCACCACATTGATGAGAATGAACATGGTAAACAGTAACAACTATAAAACAGGAGAGGATGTAGGTAGAAAATGTGGAATTCATTTTGATACTGGAAATACAAGTAAAATAGCTACAGTGAAATTTTAGAGAACCACCCATAAAAACCCCATAAACCCCCAAAACATCTAAACAATAACAAACAAAAACACAACAGGAAAGACTGGGGAGGGAAAAGAGGGATGCAGGGAAAAGATGCATTCACAACATCTACTTCCGAGTTGTCAGATCACAAACATGACAAATGACTTGGTCTTTTAACAGGAAATTCTGTTAAAGGCAAAGGCTGAACAAGGTGTGGATGATGGGGTTCATTAGTATTTTTGGGGAATCAGTATTTTCTCAGATAACAAGCAAACCAAGAAACACAACTCCTGGTCTGTGGTAGAGCTGACAGACATTCATGATTTAGAGTGACATGGTTTCGTTCTATATGTACAGCAATGTTTAGAGTACATAGGAATGAGATTATCTGTGGGTCCAGCCTCATACAATCAGCTCAGCACAGTGAAGAACATGACAAGATGAGGTCTGCAAACTGGGGAGCTCATTTTGGGCGCTGTATTTTTTTTTTTTAAGTGGACACAATGATCCTCATTGTTTGTGACTCATCTTGTCTCAGACAAGAACTGAGATGACAATTCAATCCCAGCTCTCTTGAATTTCAGAGGTTTACAGCCTTCTGATCAAAAGGATCCACTGAATGGAAGCTTTTCAAGTACAAGATTATTTAACAGATAGTCTAAATCACCTCTCTTGTGAATATGAAACTAACTTTTATGCTCTGAAAATGCTTGGGGGAGAGTGGGGGCTTGTGTGGTGGCTTGGTGTTTTGGTTTGTTCTTTTTTGTTTGGTTGGCTGGCTTTTTTGTTTTGTTTAGTTTGGTTGGTTGGTTGGTTTTGTTGGTTTTTGGTTTGGTTGGGTTGGTTGGTTTTGTTGGGTTTTGTTTTCCCTTGTATTTGGGTGACTAAAATCCATTTTTTTTAATATAACAAAACAAAAAAACCCTTTAATCCTTACCTGTGAGGATATGGGTAGTTGGACAAAATGCAGACAAAAATGTAAGATTTAAGTAAGGACCATAAAACTATATTTATCTTACCTCCTGTGCAGTGGAGATCATGGAACATAATCCACTAATTCCTGCATTCAAGTGGCAAAATCACAGAGTAATTTAGATTGGAAGGAACCTCTGGAGGTCATTTGCTTCAAACTTTATTTCCTGAAAAGTCTAGAAAACAATATTGCAACACTGAGTACCAACAGTTTAGTACAGCTCAATGAGCGAGAGTGCTGGTCTCACTCTAACCTCACAAGCACCACAGCATATGTAGGCAAATAGTCTGTCTAGCATTCATACTGGAGATACATTCCTTTCAATGACAGGATGGACAACGGATGCCGGCTATCCAGTCCTCACCCTACCTTCTAATTCCTTTTTAGGTTGGCAACCACATGCTGCTGCTAGATGTGACTTGCTGTTGTCTTTAGACACCAACAGCAAAAAATCTCATCTTGACCCACCTCTGTGAGTCATCAGGATTTACCAATTTGTCTCCTTAGGTGGGTTCCCTGAGAAGCAGTGGTGTAAATGTGTGCAGTTATCTTAATGACCTGCTAACCTCAGTGCCATCAACAGCCATTCTCCCATTCCAGCAATCCTTCTCCCATTGTTACTTTGGTGCTTCCAGACCAACACAATCCTATTCACACCAATCAAGGTTCTCACTGCTATTCTCAACAGAACTAGAGACAGGTCTGGAGTTATAGCTGCCCAGAGCCTCCTCCATTTTAGTTTTGGATATACTCAGTGATGATGGAAGGTCTACAACCCCTCTGGACAATATTTGATTTCTGATTTTCAAAAGCAGGTCTAACACACAGTGCATTTTCCAGAAAGGGTTACAGAGGAGGTAGTGTGTTGCCTCAAACATTATGCTTCCATGCTTCTAAATCCATTGCTATATATTAGTGAAAATACAGAAATACGTGATACTTCAGGATAAAAGCTGAAATTGTAGTTTTCACATTGAGAATGAGCACTGCTATCTCCTCATAAAAAAGACCACATCAGAAAGAATACTGCTGCTAGTGACTGTTGCTCAACTGGAATAAAACACCGCATTTCTGCAAATGCAGAAGAAAAGCCGCTCAATACATTTATTTTAATAACCTGGACAAAATAATGTTTTCATCTACAAGATAAAATATGTACAATAATGTTTAGCCAGATAATTTTATCTGACATTTCAAGAAAAATATTCAGTCGTAGCTGTGCTCTGCAGTCAGTACTCTAAAGCGATACTGATGGACGGAGAAAGCAACACACACATACCAACACAGACATTCCCTGCCTGTAAGCCCACTTTGGGCAGAGGACACAAGATGTCTCTATTTAAATGATGATTCGAGACTGAAGAAAAGAAAGATTTAACAGAATTATCAGGGAGTCACTTAAATAAAAGAGAAGCTTTGTTTAAACAATTCAAAGCTGCGACACAGTGCCATTATCACAATGCCTCATATTAATTATTATGTTTGCTCTTTCCGGCCTGTCACAATGATGAACAATAATGATGGCACAATGTGAGATATTCAGCATTTAGCTAATTCACTCAGTCTAGGCAGGGGATCAAAGATGTCTCTATACTCTTCTATTCATTAACAATGGCCCTTTCCAGTTCCAAATGTAACTAAGAGAAACCCTAAAGCTTTTGTGGCCTGTGCATATCTTGTCTGTCCTATCTGAGAACATTAATGGCAGCTGCAGGAATGCAATTGCCACATACAACCTCAGTCTTTCCAGGGCAGCTGGCACTGTGGGGAGGCAGAGCAGAGGTCTACAGCTTTAGTTCCCTTCCTCTCAGCGCCAGCAGACCAAAAACCATATTTGCTGTGGCAGTGACATTCTTTGCTTATGTGAATGAAAAATTCTGGGGATGGGGAGCTTCATGGACATCTGGAGCTGTACACAGGAAGTGAGCTTTGTCAGTGTCCTCACTGGAACCCATGGGTTTAATGACCACCAATTTTTGCCTGTTTCCTATCAACACAATCCCCTGTGGTTTTCCCATTGTAGCTTTGCTCATCAGTAAATGTATGATGCTTGCTGTTTGCTGACTGGCACACTGCATTTCTTTCTGCAGATGGCTGAATAACCATTCATATCTCTGACTAGAGTCTTTCTTTTGCTAGAGATATGCAACTGGATTTCTGGAGGGCAGCTGCTCAGTGTTTGTGTGCCAGTCTGAGTGGCCTAGTATGTCATGGCAGACGCATGATGTCATTTCTGGAGCGGGCTTCATAGGAATTGTGCCACTGCTCAATCCCATGAATGCTGATGAAATTGCTTTCCCAAGATTTGTTTCTTCTTTCAGAATATGATCTTGCAATATATGGCTTCAGTTTGATTTTTTTCTACAAGTCTCTCAGACTCTGCTGATTGTCTGAGTGTTCCACACTCAGTGTATTCTCTAGAAAATTTGATCTAAACATTGCAGTGTATTTTACACTACGCAAAGTTAGGGACTTTACAGGCATACTGCCAGGATAGGAATTCATTCTTATCCTCATGCCAGTCCAGAAATCCCACTCCTAATTCATGTTTCTTCCCCAAAGACCCATATCTTCTTTCCTACCACAGAAAAACAAAAGCAAACAAGAAGCCACACAAATCCCAGCAAACCATTCCAATCCAAACTGATGCCAAACAATATTAATCTCCTTTTCTGGAATTTTTTGACATACCCTACCTGCTGCACTTCTGTCTGTTTAGATCCTAAATTCTGCACAGCAAAGGCTGTATTGCATCTTTTTCATCAAAGATACTGCTAATGTTCAAATAACAAATAATGAATCTAATCCATCACCTATGTGCCTTACTATAACACACACATACACACTTGAATTTCAATTTTATGCATACAGAAACATCAAAGCAAATGCTGATTGAAGCTGCCCCTTGTCAATACTCCAAATATCCCAAGACAAATGCAGTTCTTCAAACCTGATCAAATAAGCTATGGCCCAGAAGTAATGGGGTGAATATTAACCTTACTTTCCAATACAGACAGTCATGTGCTGATCACTGTATTGTTTGTTGCTGTTTCCCAGGAGTTATTATTTGTCATAGCATGATTTCATCCTTCTTTTTGCTCTTCACAGGTGCTTTAGCTAATATTGCTAGTATGTGAGCAGCAAAACAAATCATCTAGGATAACACTTTGAAACACCTTTTAAAAAACTATCTGTGTTCCAGCATGGTTGGGTTTTCTGTACTCACACAGACAAGACCATAAGCAAAAAAAAGGTGTTAAAAACCTAAGCATAACAGCACAACACTGCTACTGAAAGAGGTGCAGAGTGAAGCAGTAAAAAGTAAGAGGCATCAAATATGCAGCAGGATTGTTTGTTACTATTTTACAGTCAGTGGATAGATACTTCTTTTTTTGACATGCATAGAATTATGTCCACAGCTGCTCTTTATTAATCATATTGTGTGAATTTGTTTCTTTTCCTTGAGCAACAAACAAAAGGTGACAGGGATGAACTTGCTTGTATAGTAATTTACATCAGTGTACGTAGGCAATTTCCATACATGCATCTGTGATGTCAACTTACACCCTTAGTTTACTTGGCAAATATAAATATACATGTGTGTATATTTGCATAATTTAAAATATGATAGCTCTCTTGAGAGGGTAGCAAATATAAATGTGTGCACGTGTGTGCATGCATGGACTAGAACTACAGCTGTTACCCTCTCCAGAGACCTACAGAATTTCAAATACACACAAAGTAGGAGCTATCTATATACATGACAAAGAGTGAGTCAAGCATCATATTGATGTTATTAGAACTGAAAACAAATGACAAGACTGGCACAACTAACATTTCTTTTTATGAATAATTTTACTGAAACAGAAAAATAGGTGGAAGACTTAATTTTTAACAGGGAACTAAGTTCAGAAGGCTGTTCAACTTATTCATAGCCGTATCTGAATCACAAAACTGCATCAAAAAGAACTCCAGCAAGTTTCTTTCTATATTTCACTGTGACATGCCTCCCTCTTCCCTGTCCCAAAGTCAATGAGAAGTCATATTTTAATAAGACTATGGCATCATGTCTTGCTGAAGCCTTACATTCACACTGATGAACACACGAAAAATTATCCTCAGTCCCTAAAAAACACATGAGAATGATGCAGATGTTAAATTAAATTCATAAAAAGAAGCTTCATAATGCAAATGTTGCCAGACCCACCAGCACAGCACACAGCTGTGGGACAGCCTATCTTGGGAGGTATAGCAGGAAAAGGTAGAGAGACATCATTTCACTCAATGTTTCTCCATTCTAGGGTTTTAAATGCTTTTTTAACTTGCCTGAAAGATGGCATAGACAGGCAAGACAGCCACCTAAGGGAGTTTGTTTCATTTATTCTTAAGAGACCTATTAATATTTACTAGAAATATACTTCATGTAGGATTTCTGTGGGATCCATAAGCATGCAGTATTATTACTTCATACTTAAATCACCTGCACACCAGTAATTTTCAGCCCTGCCTCACTCCAAGTCTTGTAAGAGCTGTTTTCTCTGTCTTCCCATCCAAGAAAGCATTCTTCTTCAGATCCCTACTTGAGCATGTACAAGTATGCACATGCTTAAGTTCAACTAAAAGTAGATATATGCATAAGTGTGATCCTATTGTCTTAAGAGATATCTATTCTAGGATATGATTTGGCAAAATACAACATGTAAAACAGAGATATGATGCTTGAGAAAACATTTTGGTGAGCTTCCAGGGACTTACCTACTAGCTGCCAGGCTGGCTTACAGTTCTGGGCTCAATCTATTCATCCATCTATCCATCCATCCATCCATGACCAAAGCGTCTGACTACTAACAAAACCAGATGATTCATCATTGGTATGTTCTCTGTTCAATTTGTCCTGTGGGAGACATGGTATTTTAAAGTATTAATATTTCAGGCTAACAGAAACTTATGGTATAAAAGACAAGTTCTATATTGTTCCTAGTTTTTAAAAGACAGAGAGGGACAGAAATGAATTTTTTCATTGTTAGATGATCTTTAAATGAGCAGGCATCCATGCCTGCCTTCTGAAGTGCAAAATACCACCTAATGGCCAGTGAGGAATAACATGAGCTATACTGCTAGAAGGTGCTCTCCCTTTTTGATAGATCTTCTGGTCTTTTTTGATAGATCTGACTAGTAAGATTGTATTTCATTTTCATTTACTTAACACGTGTTATTCAAGGTGTCAACCTTGAACTTAATAGCACAAACATCAAGGATTTGTCTCAGAGACCTATAGGGAGGATAAGACAACTCCAGGTCTGCCATGGAGATGGCATAGAAGAAAGGAGACGTACATTAGAATATTGAAAAATGCAGAGTGCTTCCACTTAAGAACCTTGATCCAGTGATACAAACAAAATGAAGAATTAACAAAAGGGAACCGCATTTCTCTTTAACAAGAAAGTACTTTCTAGTTGCATTATTGTTGCATCAGATTGCTATAGAGAAAGGTATGACTATTCACATAAACTGAGTATGTCACACTGTGAATGAAGCACGTAGTCATAAAATGTACACACAATAATGCTTGCCAAAAGTGATCGTCAAATAGGCATGTTTTAAAGGGGGAGCTGAGCACTAGGCTAATAAGAGTTTTTACTAGTGAACTTAAGGGAAATATAAAATAACCTCTGATAAATTATATGAATTGCACAAAAATATGGCAGAAAAGTAAATAATTAAGAGGACAGAATTATTTGGCAAAACAGGCTCACTGAAATAAAATGTACCTGAATACAACCTGATACACAGCCTGGAAATAACAAACCAGTCCTTGAGAATAGGGAACTGTCTAATGCGAAACAAATAATATGAAAGGATACAGAATAATGGAATATAATATTTTGGGTTTGAAGGGACCTTTAAAGGTCATCTAGTCCAACACCCCCTGCAACGAGCAGGGACATACAGAAATCACAGAGGACAAATCACTGCGTGTGAGATCTTAGCAACATGGACTTAGGAACATGGGATGGGTGAGGAGGGAAACATAGCTATATTTAGCTCCAGATACCAGTACCATTTATGTTTTGGTAAGAGTAAAACAAAGATATTTTGCACAGTTCTGATATTCACATTCTATAAAGGATCTTGAGAGATTGGACAGTTTCTCCAAAACCAGTGAGATTGTCACTAAAAAATTATTCAGGAGCTGAATAAAACTCCTTCAAGTGAAGGCTTTAATGAGCTCAATCTGTTTAGTTTATCAGAGAGTAAGAGGCAACTTGATTACGGGAATAAAGCATCAGGTACAAAAGCACTCTTTGATTTACTGGACGCAGTAAAATGCCTGTAATATACTGAAAGCAAAGCCAAGTACTACAGCATTACAAAACATCAGCTTTCCACTGAATATATGTATTACAATACAGTTTTAGTCATACAATCACACATAATTTTCTTCCACAGGAAGCTTCATTGAGTGTGCAGGATAGTTTGTGATTATAGTGAATGGTTTGGTTTATTCTCATTGTTTAATTTGTGACCCCACAACCCACTCATTATACCTAGCACCAAACACAGCACTGTTTCTTTCTTTGACTTTCATTTGGCTGGCACTTTAACAGCATATGACTGTAATTCAGTGAGCTGAAAAGGTACAGGAAAATAAAAGCCCTCATTACACACATGTTATACAACACTCCACCTGGACAAAGGGTGATTCAAACACTACACAAAATTTCTGCTTAAGGTGTTACTACAAAATTCTGGTTAAATAAACTGAATATTTTCAATAGTGGTAGAAGCCCTGGTAAGCCTTCTCAAGCTTTTTTGAGAGTTACTTGTAGGAATTGTTTAAACAGTGAAAGGCCAGTATCAGCTTGAGGTTTGTTTCCACCACAGAATCCTACCCAGGTCCCCCATCATGTATGAGGAGACAAATGACTTCTGCAGGTTCTTTGTAAACACCTGCAGGGCAGCTCCTCAGGGGCCAAGACATACTTTCACATAAAGCTATTCCACCGTAGAAGCTTCAAGGTCAGATGCTTTTTCAAGCAGACTCTGATCAGGTCACTGATTGTGAGTCACCAAGAGGAGAATATTTCCTTTCTGTTCACAGGAGCACATCTCCTGCCTGAGATTTACAGACTGGCTATCCATCTATCATCTGAAACTAGAGTTTTCCTTCTCGCCATGAACTGCCTGCCAAGATGAGCTCCCCTGCCTGGAACACCACCTGCCCTAAAACTATTATTGAAAGGTTGGGTTTCCTGACCAATATCTTTTGCCACAGATATTGACAATGAAGCCTTGAAGGCTTACAAAAGAAGCCTGCAGCCCCTAAATGGGCCATCCACTGGGAGCACACAGCCTAATATCTACAGATTTTCCTGTCTGGGTCTCCTCCACCAGCCTGTCCTAATCCCAGTCCCATCTCAACCTAACTCCTCATGCCAGTCTCAGGTAACTCTCACGGGCTGCAGATTAAACCCCACCTTGTTCCTCACTGAAGGCCCATAACCTTCAGGTTCTTTCAGGTTTCCATATGGCTGCTGTCAAACCGAGATTATCACACCCCTTTCTTTCTGCCATGCTGCCATTTCTCCCGATAACTCAGACAATTCCTAATTGAGGCAGGAAAGCAGAAAGAAAAGACAGGCCATCTCCAGCCATTCCCCAATTTCTGAACACTGCAGCACCATAATTAGTAATCTTTATAGATGCTACTTCCAAAGGCAATACATATCTACAAAATGCTTGTGAACCCCAGTCTTTCATAGAACAACTTTGTTACACATAGGCTAGATTTCCTGGAAATGGCCACAGCTATCAGGTAAAGCTTTAATGAATGTCAAGTCTCTGCTCAATACTTTGGAGATACTGGAGCATCTCAGGTTTTCACACCACCTGGACTATACTTAAAGTGCTATTGTGTAATTTAAGCTTTTACAGAATGTTTGTGTAGATCTTGTCTAGACAGGTAATAAAAGACTTCTGACTGGAGAGCTACCTCAGACTTCCACCCATTTGGAAATCTACTGAAGTTAAGCCTGCACATGAACATCCTCTCATTGCAAAATAACTTAGCTGTAAGCTACCATCAGCTCTGAAAAACTGGACTCATCTGTCAATAGCGAAAAAGATACAACAGGAAAAGGAAAGGTATGTTTACTTATGGCACTTATTATGACTAAAATGCTGCACTACATCATGTCTGCAGGAAAACCAAGCTGAATGAAACCACAGAAGATTGGGTTTAAACAATTGCAGAGCTGTAATAGGTTAAAAGCTGCATATCCTGTACTCCTTTATGTATCTTTGCATATGAATTTGAAACCTAAGGTATGTTTTCAGGAGGCCTAAGCTCTTTGCAGCTTACCACAGCACTCACACTTGCAAATGTTTTCTTTATACTAGAAAGTCACAGTTATCATATGTTACACTACTCTAAGGTACACATCTGCCAATACTATGTTATTGTCAGAACAGTGTTTATATTGGACAGGAAGCGGTTCAGCATGCAACGTGTGCAAAGGCCACAGGAGAATTTCCCAACCTTTGCTCTCTGAGGATCCCTAGTAGTCCTTAGCAACCTTGCTGGAAAGACTGAAATCAGTCTCTAGACAGTAGGCAATAAGTGTCGCTGGCTACAGCAAAGGCACACACATCTCCAGAAAAACATTTAACAGAGTCATCAAACCTACTATATAGACAAACACATTAAACTCAGACTGATTAAAGCAAGAGGAAAACTGGCAAGCAGACTCCTGCAGTGGCCTTATGTCACTGCACAGAGTGCACAGCTATAGAGAATGCTTTCATGACAATTTAAGAACTGGCCTCCTGTAAACCTAGTCTGGACTAAGGAGCATCAGAAAGGTGTGAAATGACAGTCTGAGAGACTGTGATCTAAGTGCTAGAACTGTTCAGACCATTAGAAGCTCTTATACATGTCAGAGCCTATTACAGGACATATTATCTATAGTGGTCTATTGAGTTCTTTCCTGGTACTGCCCCAACTAATACATTGTTTTTATCTCTAATAAACTTCATCAAGTGGAGTCTGCAATTGTTCCACATGGAACAATTTCAAGACTGAAATGCCACATGGGAGCGTTAAACATAAATATTTTGCCTATCCCTTCAGCTTTCAGGGCAAGATTATATTGAGTTCTGATGTCTCTCATTCCCTGCCACACAGCTAAGGGAATAGAACTCCCCAGGTCTTTATTACATACAGCTGACCTTTTATTTCCTGCTAGGTGCATTCAATTTCTGATAGCCCAGAGTATGGTCTTGAAATGCAATTTTCCATCATGCTAAACTAATCTGAGGTCCCCCTTTTTACACATTTAATAAACTCAAAAGTTTGCTATTCGGTGTTGCATGAAAAACAGAGGTCATTCAGAAGGTTATAACTTTTTCAACAAAACAACTGTTGTGGCACTTGTGAAAGAAGCAAAGGACAAACATTTATAAACACTAGGCAAAACACTGCAATCAACATAAGTAAGAAATTCCACTTCTGTTTGTCTGTTTATTTGTGATTTTATTTTTAACAACTATAGCTTAATTCCATTGTACCTACTGCTGATATTACTCATTTAACTTTTATATTCAGAATTGTTTAAACCTGATTAACCCTTATTTAAAACTAATCTCTTGCAAGAGAAGCCTGTCTACAGTTTATATGCTACTTGTATTCATGATTGCTAAAGAGAGCTGTATCTTCTCTTTCCACCCTATAAAATATTTTCATAGCGTTTACTTAGATGGTAACAGCAGCTCCACTTTTCATTTAACAGTCACTGTTTTTATATACTTCTCAAACTTCTTCCAGTCAATATTTAACCTTTGGGTTCCAATATGCTGATATTACATTATGTATAGTGTTTTAAATATCAAATCTGATATATACAGTACATATTACTTCTAATTTTGATTCTTGTCCGCCCACTCAGTAACTATGATAGCCACACTCTCCTCATCTCACATCCTATTTCCCTGTTTTCTCTTGTTTATATCCAAGAAGATTCCCATCTACAGCATCCTGCTGGCTGCATACATGCCACAGTACAACTTTGCCTTGGCCCATCGACTAATTTATTTCCTAAATCATTTAGCAACGAGCCTTAATGGCTGCTCCCTAGGACCTCATCATGCAAGGTCAGCCGTTCTGTTACCAGTGGGATGTTGCTCTGAATGTTAAACTTCTGTTGAAATGCATGTTTATTCGTACAGCCACTACGATTCGAATGTTATTCATACAGTCACTACAAACATCGCCCAGGCAACTCTCCTGCCCGCTAACGACCTTCCCATCGACCCTCCGACACGAGAATTTCAGGGGCTAGGGGTGGCTTATTCTTAACTAACCTTGGTTGCCCGAGATAAGCACGCCTTTATCACCTCTACCATCTTACCGTGGCTCCGTCTTCGAATGAGCTAAGCTGGCTTTGAAACACTCATTTTGTGTAAAACCTTTTGGTACACTTACTCCTAAAAAGCAGCAGTAATTTCTTCAATAAAAATCAATCCTTTTGATTTTTTTTCCTTAAACTAAGTAGCGCATTTTAAAGCTATCACCCTATTCAACGTTACTTTATAAAACTGAACAAATCAAACTTTGTAACCCCCAGATTTCCAAGGGGGCAAAGCCAACACCACCACCACCACTATTATCGAGGGTGATCTTAACCGCGGAGGGGAATCGATGCCCTCGGCCAAGAGGCAAAGCCAAGCCCACCGGTTGCAGCCCAGGGCGCGGAGCCCGCCCGTGTCGTCCCCCCCCTAGCGCAGCCTTCACGCCGCCGCGGGACGGTGGAGCCGACCCGCCGGGCCCACCCCGACAAGCCGCGGTGATCCGAGCGCTGAACTGCCGCTGTGCCCCCGGCCCTGCCCAGGCGGAATCGGAGCGGGGCCGCCCCGCGTACCTGCGGCACTCCTCCCCGCTCCCCTCTATCAGGTGCCACAGGCGCGGACGCGTCCTTCTCCTCCTCTCAGACGACGCCCGCCGCCGAGCCTCTCCCGCAGCCGTCACCCGGCAGCAGGTCCCCGCGCCCCGCCGCCTGGCTTGGGGCACCGCGGCCGCATGGCGATGGCCCGACCGCGTTGGGAGCGGGTGGCGGCCGCTGAAGAAAGAGCCCCTCGCTCCGTACCTGTCCGGGGCGCCGCAAGCGAGCGGGGTGTCTTCGGGAGAGGGAGCCTCGTCCCCCCTCAGCTCCGGCGCGGCAGCGGGCGGCCGGCCGGCTTTGTTACTACTCGGAAGAGCCGCGGATCAGCGCCGTCGCTATAGAAACTGGCTGTGCCTCGAAGCGACACCGGCGAGTGGCGGGAGGGAGGCGGGCGCCGGGCGGAGGTGTGGGGTGATGATGGAGACGTTCATTCAGGAATATCCTGGCCTCTTCCTCCGCCTGCAGCCAGCCCCCGGCACCGCCCAGCCCGGTCACAGGGGGTGGAAGGGCGCCCCGCCGCTCCCGACTCAATTTGCTTCTCTGGGTGAGAATGGGGGTCCTCTGCTTTGAGCAGCCTCGGCCCCGTCATCGCCGCTTCCTCAGGGAGACTTGTCCCCAGACCACGCCAGGGTACCTGCTTGCCGTTTCCGAGAGCGGTCCCCAGGGTAGCAGGGGACCAGGAAGCACCCACACCACAAAATTTAGGGGGTTGATCTAAACTCCCGTTCCTGCCCACTTATCTCAGCAGCCTGTTTGCCACAAAAAATCCCAAACCATGGACCAAACTTTTTTAGGCACAGCGTTTCAGTTTGTAAAAGTTATAGTTCCACATCCCCTGGTGAGGAACTGCTTTCTTGTGAGAGCTTGCTGCTCTGGACAGAAGCTGATGGTGGCTGAAGCAAGATCCAAGGGTGGGGTGGGGTTTTTGCATTTGTTTGCTGCAGCAGGCCCTAAGGACAAGGAGTGGTAGGATCTGTTGTCCAGGGTGCAGTGCAGGCAGCAAACACAAAGGGAAATGAGGGTGGTGGGAACGAAGAGTGAAAGGCTGAGAATGCGTCAGTGTAAAGCAGCCAGGTGGGTGGGAGATACCCTTGCATCTGATATGTATGAGGTTCAGGGTCTTCCTTGCATAATCCTAAACCTGAGGGATGACAAGTTTTCCTGCAGCAACAGCTTATGGCATGTCACGGATGTCATGCCATCTTCATATGCTTCTCCCTGCTTGGCATGACTGACAAAAGAAAGTCCTTCCTTTCTTTCTTTCCTCATCTACTGAAGGCTCAGTGGTGTCAGTTTGTTGAATCTATTCTAATTTTTCTCCCTGAAACATTCTTATTCTCTCAGTAGTAGCAAAGTTGACAAAATATCCTACTAAGTGCAAGATGGATTTCTCCTTTTCTCTTTCCCTGGTTTATATTGATTAAATTGGCCTTCCAAGTTTGCCAAACAGCAGAAACCCAACATGCAAGGCCAACTCAGGGGCTGCAATTATCCAGCTCAGCTACTGCTAAGCTACAGGGGATGACTATTAAGTATCAGCTCTGCAAGTCACTGTGAGCAGGTGAGTCTGTGCCAAGAGCTGCTGGCACACTGCAGAAAATACTCTTTAGGAAGAGTTTGCCAAAGAAAAGTAAGACACCCCCCTCTCAGGAGCTCTTCACAAAGCAATGTATCTTACACTGGAACTGCTGGCAGACTGTAACACAGCCGAATGACAATGATGGCGCAAATGAGGGAGACAGAAAGTTGGGTATGAAAGACAGGGGGTCACCGTATATCTATCTATTTAATTTGCATGCTAAATACTAATTCTACAGTTAAGAACAGATAAATCCAGTCAGAGCATAGCAGAGCTGAATTAATTTTGTTTGTTTTGCTTTATAGCAAATTTGCTTGCTTTGAGGTGGAAGGAGTAGCATTAGAGAAGTGAAATATCTGCCATGTGCTGGATCTTACAGAAGAAATTCTTCTCTTTTTTCCTGTATATAAAAGAATGTTTTCATCCTTTTAATCAAATGGAGTAACAATATTCATAATAAATATAGTGCTTTAAAAAGATGAAAGCTTGAAATCAATTCATATTCTAAAACCTTTTGGAAGAGTAAGGATGCTTTTTAGCCTAAGATGTATTTACAGAAGTGAGAATTTAAACACACAAATGTTGCTAAAAGAAGTGGTCATTGTTTTGACAGCAAGAAACACGATATTGCTATGATGCCTGTTCATTTTTCTTACAAAAGAATTTAATAGCACTTTCTCCCAGGTGGAAGCACAAGAAGGGCTAAAAAAATGCTAGGAAAGACTTACCATCCAGTCTTCACTGATACAAAGCACCTGAGTAGTAGTAGTATTTTGTGTTTTCCTGGGGCTTTTAATCTTCAATGCGGTTTTACACATGGACTTCTAATCACGTTTCCCTCTCTAGGCTAAAGGTAAAGAACAGCATTTTGAGAAGGTGCAGTTGAGGCAATTGGGTGCTAAAAGACTCACCTGCAGGCACAATCAGATGTGTCTTAGTATTGTGCAGATATCTGTGCCTTCTAGATTACCCTTCCTGTCAAGGTTACAAGGATATTTTACTGGCAGAGATGAGCCATTTTTACAGATGCATATCACCTGCATCTTTAGGAGAGAGCATTAGCCAGCTCACCGTTCCAGTGCTTGTGAAGTGTTTTACTGCTTTTTTCTTTTTCTTTGTTCTTTTTTTTTTTTTTTTTTTTTTTGGGGGGGGGGGGTGGTGGTGGTGGTGGTGGTAGTATTTGATTGTTTTTTTAATTCTGCTTGAAATGTATTCAATCTTAGAGTTTAATGTCATTTGGATCCTAACTTTTATGATAGCGTTTACAAAGTAGGGCACCAACTGCAAACATGCCAAGTTGACGTTCAGGTGGTTTGCAGTCACAGTATTTCTATCGTTATAAGTGAGCTGAATGAAACAAAAAAGATACTGAACTCTTGCCTTGTAGTAACAAAACAGTATTAAGTCAGCATCACATTTTGGAACATTTTAGCACTAAGCTGTCTTGCCTTTGTGTTTTGACATTTTGTTCCTGTTTCTCTCAATTCGGGTTAAGGATAATACTTTTTAAATCTACAACTGAAATGCCTTCTGGCAGCATTTTTAGGGAACGTGCACTTCTTTGGGGGAGTGTGACCAAAAAAAAAACATTTAAAAAACTGTGTGCTGATACAGTCATTGCCAGCTTCTGACTCTGCAGTGACATGTGCATCTTTCTCAGCATAGAGGATTTTTTCCAGTAACTCAGTGTACTGAAAGAGTTCATCGTGGAACATTGAACAAGCATTAACATTCGTGTGGAGCAGGAGAACAGCTTTTGTCAGTGTCCCTTCTCTTTTACCCTTTGTCTTCATTTCAACAACCATTCATCCCACCAAACACTCTGTTGGATTATTTGTTCCCTGTAAGCAAAGCAAAGTATCCTTAGGACAGCACTGAAACATTAAATAAAGATTGCTTGAGCTGAAGGAATAAAACACATTCTTAGCACATCATATTAAAACAAAAGAGGGCTATAAGCTGTGATAAAATTGAAGTAACAATATTTAATACTAATATTAGTTATAATTACTAACATTATTATTAGGATTGTGGTGCAACCTAGAGGCTGCAGGGACCTTTTCCCCACAGAACAAAAATTTCTGCCCCAAAGCGTTTACCTTAAAATTAAATGTCTTTCCTGAGGGCCTGGAATGCTATTAGTTACACATTTGGGTATTAGAAAATGCAGTGGGGCCTAATTTGATTGTGGGTTTTTAGATATAATACAAATCTTAAGTAACGTAATAATTGTAATAATAATTCTGTCAGGAGATGGTGCAAAACCATTTTTCTGTGTCTATAGGCTAGGGGTCCTTTTGTAAATTAGAGACTTCAGAACCTGAAAATGAGTTTAAATGATAATTGAAGGAAGCAATAAAACTTGAGTGTGCTAAAATATGGGATGAACTCCTAGGTTCTGGCATTGTAATGGGAAACTGTGCTTTCCCCAGGGCTATCTTTCAATTGTGTTTCTTCAGCCATATACTCTTTTTTAATTTATTTTTTTATTTATTTTTTCCCTTTGGCTGAAATGAGTATGTAAAACCTTTGCTTGAGATTTCTGGATGTCCTGCAGAGGCTAAGTGACAGCAGCACAAAAGGGACTGGAATGCCAAAGAGACAGAGGCATCCTTCCCCAGCTCTGCCAGCTGCTACACATAGGCACCTCTTGGTGGGTAGAGCCACAGCAGCAGTGGCAGTGGCTGGAAGTGTTTATTTTCAGGGTGAGGGACATGAAAAGATTGTTGAAGGGAGGGACGGCATGTGAGGGAGCGCTGTCATTAGCAGATCCATGGTACTTGGGGTAGATGTTTGGGTTCCCAGCCTTTCTATATACCTTTCTATATACCTTTCTATATACCTTTCTATATACCTTTCTATATACCTATCTATATACCTTTCTATACCTTTTCTTTTTTTGTTTTTTACCACATTGGGGGAGGTACTGGCATAAGGAAAATCAAGTATGTATAAATAAGTTCAGACTTACAGCTGATCATTTAATAAAAAAAAAATACTTACCAAAGGTTTATAAAGGCTCCTGTCCAAATTTATGGCGAGAGGGTACTGTTGAGCATTCAAAGCTATCAGAAAGCAAACAGCAGTCTTGCAGTACCTAAAGGGTCCACAAAGAAGCTGGATAGGGTCTTTTTACAAGGGCATGTAGTGACGAGACAATAGGAAATGGCTTTAAGCTGAAAGAAGGTAGATTTTGATTAGGCATTAGGAAAAAAAAAATCTTCACTGTGAGGGTGGTGAGGCCCTGGCACAGGTTGCCCAGAGAAACTGTGGCTGCCCCATCCCTGGAAGTATTCAAGGTAGGTTGGATGGGGCTTGGAACAACCTGGTCTGGTCAAAAGTGTCCCTGCTGTGGCAGGGGGGCTGGAACCTTTAAGGCCCTTTCCAACCCAAACCATACTATGCTTCTATGATTACTACTATCTAGTTGACTTTCAACATGACCATGCCTGCCCTTTACTATGTAGTTCCATGCTGAGATACAACAGCTACTAAGTGAAGTAGCCTGCTGAGAAACAGGCAATGTCCAAGTTGAAGTGTGGTGCTATACCATTATAGACATGTTTGACTGTGCTTATACTCACTGTGTGGGGCAGTGTATGTATGTCTTAAGTGTATATGCTTACAGGCCTCCTGTGACAACATGACATCTCAAGGAAACACATGAGTTAAAAGGGCATGTTAAAAAATTATTGTTCTGGAAAGGCATAAAATGATATGGCAACATACAGAACACATACTGTTGTTTAATTTTGCTTACTGTAGAAGAGAGATAGTGAAGGGAAGCCTAACCTAAGTACCTAAGTAAACACCATAGGGGCCAAAGGGATTAATGCTAGGGAAGTGTAACTCTGGATGGTGTGTTTTGTGTTATTC